GCATCAGCCAGGAGTTACGTCATTTACCTGAAAAAAGTGATTCAAACACCCTCAACGGACCAAGCAATCAACGAGGAACTGGCATCTCGCGTGGCTACTATTCTTGATGGTATGGGATCATAAAATATGATCCAATACGTCTTCTCATCACCTGAACAATAATAAACTTCCTGAACTTGAAGCTGTTTTCACTTTTTCATTCTTGATTTTTTTGTGTTTAGTGAGAATAAGACCGTCAAATGCGCAAATTCGCGTTTGTACCACATATTTGAAATAAATAAAGCACCACCTGCAAGTCGATCTGTAAGTAAGTGCACAGGTGATCCGTACCAGTGGCACTCATGCCCTAGCTGCAAAGTCAGGCAATGAACACAATGAATGATTAACTCCTTATAGCCAACGTTTATGATTTTGCTTGTTTTGCGTCACACCAAAGTACATTTCAAGTTTAAGACAATCATGTGCGAAGCTGAATGAAAAAAAGAATAGATCTCAACTTTTCTCATACCTCGTGCAGGTAGCAAAGGCACAATGAAGGCTCATCGCATTGTTCAATCTGATGAATAATTTTGTGGATTACGTTGCAAAAAAAGTATAGGATAATATGTAACTATTGAAGAGGTGTTTTGAGTTGTCTAACCGATTATTCATTAAAACATCTACGATTTTCGACCCGATCGCAAGTTCTTCGGTAGCATTTCATGCGACTAGTTGGATGACTGACCTTTTACCTCACTTTCAAATGTGAGCTTCCTGAAGAGAAAACGGGATGCAAGACGATATAATAATTCGTAATTCATAACTCAAGCGTATGTTATGAACACTTCTATCTATATTAAAGATCTAGGCGGCAAAAATTATATCGTTCGGGCGCACCATGATCCCATGAGTCAAAATACTTTATTTACCCTTGATCAATCCGTTGTTCTTACCAACTAGTGAGTTTAAGGCAACGCTTACGAACTCTCCTTTGGCATAATGCACACGACCAGTGAACTTGATAGCCTAGCACATATTCCACTAGCCCTCCCTTTAAAACTTTTTAAGAAACAAACGTACCTCCATATGCTTTCCATAAAGGAGAACTTTACTTCCAATGTTTGGTGCTGAATTGACGACTGCATCACTTTTGGTCTCTCTTGTAATGTCTATACAACATTCTGTCCTTTTCTCCAAAGAATCTTTCGGTTGTGGTTGCGTAAAAGGGCTTGTTATAGATCGTATCTCTTCTTTAAAATCAGAGCTAATAAACATCATGAATATTGCAGTCAGATTTTTTTT